CGAGACATACCTATTTTTATATAAAAAAACGTTTTATTTTCGGTAAAATATGGAAAGACTTGTTGTTAAAATAATAATAAAAATAAATAAATAAATTATCCGTTATTTATCCGCTTTTATGCTTTTATTTGCTGTTTTTCAAAAAAATAATAATAATAATTTTTATTATAGGAAAACGTCATTGACGCTATAACACGTTAAAAAAATAATATGAAATAAAATAAAAAATGAAAATTCTCAAATCGCCGCATGGTTTCGAACCCAGGTTCTCCAGGGCTGACTTGTCCGCAGCATTCTACCAACCACGCCACGCTTCACTCGAAACTCTCGCGAATATTTAGCTTTAAGTACCCTTTTCCGGTATGTAAACAAAACGTATTTCGGTTCTTTTGTTGGTCCCTTACTAAACCTATAAAAGTTTCCTTTGGTACGATTCTTCGGTACATTGAACCTAAATTTCTGACTGAGTTTGAATATTTAGGTTAATATTAAAGGGATTTAAGGGGGTGAAGTGCGCATGCGTCCAGAGACCATATTTGTCTGTTTTTCTGCCGTTATTCGCGATTTAGGACAGAGATACACCTATTTTTATATAAAAAACACTTTATTTTCGGTTAAATATGGAAAGACTTGTTGTTAATATAATAATAAAAATAAATAAATAAATAAAAAATATATCCGTAATATATCCGCTTTTATGCTATTATTTGCTGTTTTTCAAAAGAAAAATAATAATAATTTTTGCAATAAGAAAACGTTATTGAAGCTAAAACACATTAAAAAAATAATATAAAATAAATTAAAAATCTCAAATCTCCGCTGGGTTTTGAACCCATTTTCTTCAGGGCTAACTTGTCCGCAACACTCTACCAACCACGCCAAGCTTCACAGGAAGCTCTCGCGAATATTTAACTTTAAGTACACTTTTCCGGTAACGTATTTTGGTCCTTTGTTGGTCCCTGGGCCTGATTTTCGCCTAGGCCCAATAGGCACGGGCGTTGGGCCCACTCTTTCGGGGGGGTGGAGGGGGCTCAAAAATTAGTAAAAATTAACAATATTACTTTTTTAAATAATATACCGAAAGAAACAGTTTATCTCTAAAAAGCCATTTTTTATTTCAAATTTTCTTTATATTGTGATAAACCAAACTCGTGTAAGCAATGCACTAATCAAATTCGAAAGTACAGTTGAATTTTAATTGGTGCAATTCTTTCTCCAACAGCTTGCAATGCAAACGCAACGAGAATGCATATTCGCAAAGTCTCTCATAGTGTCAACAAGAACTAAAAGCTTATTCTTAACAAATATGTAAAGCTGTAGATGGAAAGCTACAATCTTTGAAACAATTCAGCTAATCAGTGACTTTTATCAAAAATCACTAATTTCAATTGTTTGTAATCAAACTATTTTAACTTTCATACAACATTATTTTGTTTGATACTTCGCTTTAATATAGATGCGTAAACTTTATCTTAGAAAAATAATCGTCAATTGTCTGCTTTCAAAATTTTTTAGAATGTTTCTCTTGAATCATGCAGTTCAATAGATTATTTTTATTTTTAGGACTACAAAAAGAATCTAGAAGAGAAGAAGAAATATAAAAGAATTTGTTAGGACTATGTTCTTCGGAAATTTAATTTCAAAATATTTTGTTAGGGGCCCGGAAAATTTTGTGGGCCTGGGGCCTGAATTTGTCTTGATCGGTCCCTGTCTGTTTTCATATACTTTAGTCCAAATAAATTGAACTGCTACGCTTTAATTGCGTTATTATGATTTTATTTGAATTTATTTAGCAATTTTAAACTTATGTGAGTATTATTTTATAATGTTGAATATGAACAATGCGCATGCGCAAGTTTTTCTTTCGACGAATCAGTGACATTCAAGAACTTGGATAGTGTCGACGATTCATCCAATTTCTTGGACAGAGAAATCCCTCCAATTTCTCGGATTCAAGAACTTGAATCGTGTAAACAGGTCTTTAAGTCGGGACTTGGCACCCTTGCTTTCTGAGTTGGGTTCAATATAAGATGATAATAAAAATACCCGAACATAAAGAACGGAAACTTTTCCATAAAATTGTTTTTGAATAATCATAATGTTACTAATATATTTAAATGCATAATTAAGAAACTTTTTTAATTTATTTTCTCAATTTTTCTGTTCTAAATATTTCAAGACATATTGCGCATTTCAGCACGTCTCAAGAACATTCTAAGAGAACTGAAAAATCTTTGCACACTTATAAAATTAGTTTATCCAGAGACAATTCCGAGAAAATTATAACTTTTAGTAAATATTTATTATTTGTTACTATTTTATTTAATAGTAGGAAGATTTTAATTGTAGGGTATACAAATTTTTACATCATTTTGAACAATGCAATTTTAAATAGCAAAACACAAAATTTGAGCGAAATCGGTCGAATATGATAAATTGAATTTTGAAAAATTCATACCTTTAAAATCTTTTAATTTTAGCGTTCTGCAGTTTACTGTATAGTTATAAATTCCCCACTATCAAGGTATTTCTTAAATTTGAATCAACTGATTGCTAAAAGTTGATAAAGAGAGAAAGGTGAAGTTTTCTACAATTATCACAATAAAACTTTGATTGAAAATGGTCAAACAGAACCACTTTTTCCCGTTGTGAGAAAGGTAGACTAAAAAGAATCAGTATGAATATTTAATTTTCCCTCCATTACTTGATTTTTAGTGCATTCTGTTTGTTAGCCGAAATAAGTTGGATAGAAATGACTCGTATGAATATGAATTTTTAACTTTGATTTAGACGAAGTTTTTATTGATATTACGTGCTTTTAAACAAAAAATGATATTAGTTTCGATCGTACTCGAAACATTGCCTCAACAACTTTTTTTTAGCTCTGATTCAAATGAAGTCTTCAATGGTATTGTGAAACCTCCTTTAAGCGGACATTCTTGGGACCAAAAAAATTGTCCGTTTATGAGAGTTGTCCGTTAACGGGAATGGTACCCAAATAACGGAGTTTAACACCTTCAATTGTTTTTAGAATAATTTCAAAGACATAGAAATAGTTAAATAATCTACAAAAACTATCTACAAGGATATTTGCTTAAACTTCAAAAAATATTTTTTCAATAAACAGAATATATAAAAAAGATTATATGAGAAAGTCTGATATAAATACATAATTCTAGATGCAGCAACAGATAAAGGAACATAATTTACCTATGAGCACAGATATTCAAGATAGACATATGATACCGAATAGGAGCTTTAAGGTCTCACTGGGTTTCAATTTAACTGGGTTAATTTTCTGGGTTAAGTTTACATACCCTATTACTTGATAGGAAACGTGGTTAATACCTTCTTGAAAGTAAACCTCCCAGGATTCATAGAAGAAAAAAGGCAATGAATACTTGTAAGTCATGAGGACCTATGGAGTTGATTATTCACAAAATTGATCATCCATCAAGTGTCTGAATAAATGTTTCATTTATATGAACACTTCAAAGATTACACTTCTGTTCTCTTTACTTAAACCAGTTGTGTTAAATATAGTCTTCAAATTGATAAGAAATTTAAAGAAATTCTATGTGGGGAAGAATCATTGAGAGTATTTACGACGTCATTTCAACTTGAGGGGTCCCATAACCTGTGTCATCCAGATGAAAAGATCAAAGATGCCGTAGACCGAATTATTTCACAAGTGCAGTATCATTTTCTCCGCTTTCTTTACTAAGATAAGGCAAGGAGACAGGAGAAAAATCGATTCTTTAGCAGTGAAATCGCATAAAAAAATTTTTAGTTATGATTAAGGCAAAAAATTTATATGCTTTAAAAATGGTGAAAAGTTGCATTTTTCCCTTGCAATTTAAAGCAGAAATAGTTTCTTTTTTTTTCAAATTTAAAAAAAGGTAGTGTCCGGTTTGAAGAGGTAGAAAATAACTTTTCAGAGAAAAAATGACTGTCCGCGTCCGGTTTCTGGAGTGTCCGCTTTGCGGAGAATGTAAGTAATGGTTTATTCATAGAAGTTTCCCAGGGAATTAAAAATGTGTCCTTATTGAAAGGCGTCCGTTTTGCAGGAGTGTCCTTAACAGGAGGTTTCAAGTACATGTTTTAAAACAAAAATCTATATTCTTTTCGATCGTACACGAAAAAATGTCTCAACAATTTTGTGAAATTTTTTATTTTAAGATCTTGGTGTTACAGTTTGTTCCAATCAGATCCGGAATCCTCAACTATGAAAGCTTCGAATGAATTAAGGCTTATGTTCTATATGGTACATAATCCAAGGGATAAAGTAGGAGACTCTTGCATATGTTCCAGGTGTCCCAGGGTTACCACACTTGTAGCCAAAGGAAACGACGCCAATGAGTGACCAAATTCCGTCATAATCTTCGTGCATCAAAGGACCACCGGAGTCCCCCTAAAAAAGTTAGAAAACAATCAGTACAAAAAAAATTAATCTGTTATTGTTTAAGCCAATCAACAAAGTGTTATCACCACTCATTACCTCCTCTCCATAGAAATACCAAAGCTGACGTTATCTCACTTACCTGGCAATCCATCTATGATCTATCAGTTGCAGATAGCAACCGATGCCTTTCTTTGGGATGGTAATACAAATCGTTCAAATTGGAATCAAATTACTACAATTGATTGATTTATTCCACTCAAGTGATAGAGTTTAGCCTCTGTCTTGGAAATCTCTATCGCACGTGGAAATGCACTTTCCATTGATTTTTGCCTCTGTCGGCTATAGCGGTTTTTCTAGTTTTATTTTTAATCTTTATTTATTTTTCGGTTTCACTCTCGGACACCGAGGTTTTTTTCTCATTTTTACACCTTTATTTTAAATTTTTTGTCGGCAACTTTACGTTTTCTGTTCCAATTCACTTTTATTTCCCTCATTCAGACATTTAGAAGAAACTGCATTAAAAAAAATCTGAATTTGGAGAAAGGGGTCTCTATGGTATTTAACTGTGTGAAAATAGGCAATTTCAAGGAAAATTGCGATTAACCCCTCCCCCCCTTTTTTTTCATTGTCTATATTTGAACTTTTGTGCATTAACTTTCTAAATCTCTTTAAATTGAAAATAAGTGTGTCATGATTTCTAACTCTTTTATTTATATAAAAAAAATTCTTTTAATATTTTTGGACAATTGCATACATTAAATACGGTTTGCGAACAATGTTGATTTTGAGAAAATTTCTTTAAGCTGACACATTTTACTGAAATAGTTTATGATTGTAGAAATATTTGAAACTTCATTTGTGGATTTCGAATAATCTTTGCGATATTATGAACTAAAAGCTAAGTTGAGAAATTATTTATTTACTTTTTTTTTTTTTATCAAGCTTTAGGTAAGAATGTTTAGAATTTTTCTTTTGAAAAATCAATATTGATCAATTTATTTATTTCTACTTCATTGAATATTTGAAAGTATTATTGAGCGAGAAAAAAAAATATTGTGAAATTTATGTATTACAATTCGTTGTTAGCGGGATATTATAAATTTGTAGTTTTATAGGAAATTTTGCATTTATTGCGAAAAGAAAATATTGTGAAATTAATAAAGTTTATTTTAGAATAATAATTTTAGAACTTCTGCTTACCAGAAATAAAAAAATTTTTCATCAAGGCTGCTTTCTTTCTTTTTTTTTTTTTAAATTGTGATACCTTAAGTTTCGGATACCTTAAGCTAACAGTCAACTTCATTGATTCAACTATTCACTGATTTGACTATTCAAAGATTCGACTATTTACTGGCATCTTTTTTTCTTAGTCATTCACGGATGGATTCACTGATTTGCTCGATTTGATTCGAAGATTCATTAAATTTCAGCCTTTTGTCGTTTCATACATTTATTCACTCGCTATTATCCTTATAATGACCGTTTTTTTTTTTTACGACGCCAAACGCGTTGGTGTATGTCGGACGTTGTTAATTTTTTCCTTCCCTTAATGGAGACAGCATTTATTAAACTATATATAACCAATAAGCAAGATAGTTTTTGATGCTGGATTATTTTAGACAGTAAATATTTTTACACTTCAAACCCTAGATAAAGTTTTCTTTCTTTAAATTAACACCCAATTAATTTTTTCATCAAAAATGACGAATAAAAGTATCTTATTTACCACACAGGCATCTTTAGAGCCATCAGGAACACCGGCACATAAGTAATAATCCCCAAAATCCTTCGGTAATGGCTTACCGGCAATTCTGCTTATAATGTTCCTGCATTCATTGCCCGGGTAGAGGATGACGTCGTCTAACCTTTGAAGTCTTTGAGTACTAGAATCTGTAAGAGAACAACTCTTTTTCACACAAAAATTAAAGAATTGTCACGACGTCAGCTTTTTTTTTAATGTCTTTAGATAATAAAAAAATGGAAGAAAGGAAAGAAAGGACGATTTTTTTGGAGATTTCTAATGCCTATTAAAAACATTATTAAGAAAAATGGCACAATTTTAACGTTTGCTTTCTCGAAACCATACTATACAGGAAGAGGGCTCTGCCATTCTCTACATTTACATATATTTTAGAACCTTTGTCATCTGGGAAGTCAAGAAAGTATACTCTTTTCAAAGGCCTCATATATTTAAAGGAGGTAAAAGCGAAAACACTATCGAAACCAAAGGAATTACCCAATCGAAAGGCGAAACTGAAGACATAAAAATCTGTTTGATAGCTCGAGAAGATCGTGAACATGTGAAAAGCAACAATTACCAATTGCCTTTCTTCACTCGACAGGAAACCGACTCAGAGGACAAAACGCCCGCTTCCCTTCGATGTGACCTAGATCAATCTCATCGGCGACTAATCGATTTGAATTCTGCTCTCGACTCTTACCAACCAATCTGCTGAAGTAAGATATCCTCAGTCATTGTGTGGGTTTGTATAACCTTGCATCGGGCCAACCGTGGCAGGTTTTCCTCTTCATGTAACACAAATGTGAGTTAGATCTATCGAAAATTCTTCCACGAAGACTAGTTTATCCCAATGTTTGATGCAGGGCAGTTTTGGCTCAGGGGATAGAACCTTCGCCTTCCAATGAGGTGAACCGGGTCAGAAACCCAGCGATAGCTGGTCGATACAAATTCCGCACCCGGCTAGCACCGACCACAGTGCTGACGTAGAATATCTTCAGTGGTAGACGGATCAGAGTATTTACTTATTTTGGGTTAGTGTCCCCTTGCCGTCAGGCTAACCGTGGAAGGTTTTCGTGGTTTCCCTCCACATGTAACGCAAATGCGGGTTAGTTCCATCGATAATGCCTCCACGAAGAGAAAATTTCAACCAATACTGGATCCAGGAGTTCTTTTGTCTTCTTGATTGAGTTCAAAATGACAAGGCTACGGAGTTGAACATATGGTAGTCGTAAACCCAAAATTGGGTCTGCTGCTCAACAATATATATATATAGATCGNGATCCAGGAGTTAATTATTAATTATTTTTGGAAGATCTAATGCACGCTCTCTTTTTTTGTCCAAGATTCTATTAGGTTTAGTTAAGGGCTGTGATTATATAGAACTTATTTGCAATCGTTGTCTTAGTAAATAAAACCTTCCTTTTCGCTCCATTAACATTTGTAAGGTTATTTTTCTAAAACGAACTTTTCTAACTAATAAAAATCCAATGATGGTGTCGCAATTTTCCATTGTTGGCGGTGCATTTTTCTTGGTTGGAAAGTCACATGGTAGATATCCAGTTTTCCCACATTAATTTTCAAATTGGTTCGGTTGCTATCAGCATAAAATTGATATAAGGGTTTTGTTTTCCTATAAGTATTTTTGTATCCCCAGTTTAAAGGTATTTACCTGTACTGTCATTATTACGTTTTTAATTTTGCTTTTGTTTTCCAAATTAAGAGTTTAAGAGGATTATTATTATTGTTATTAGAATATTGTAATTCTACGTTACATTTTAAGATAAAAGTTGTTTAAATCGGTGTCCGATATTATTAACCCTTTAACAGTTATTATTATTATTTTTTTGGGGGTAAGTTGCGCTAATATACTAACATGAATTACGATTAAAGAGATTCGTTTAACAATGTTCGCACAAAGTGATGAGTGCAAACATTGTTTTTAAGATATATCCGTCTGTTTGGTAAGCAAAAATATTAGATTGCAGTTGTGAACTCATCAAATTTGTCACAACAATATACTTTTAATTATAACAATTGTTTCAAAAAATGATTTACGCCCACTAATAGATCTCAATAGTATAATAAGGAAAATATTTAGACGTGGGATGTGTTGGCACAAGTGCTCTTTTTGGAACAGATATGTTTAATTAAATAATTTCAACTGTCTTGTGACAAGAAACAACTATTATTACGAAGCAATCATCGAGATTGCTGAGCGTCAGCGGGCAGGGGGCTTAGCCCCCTGGTACTATTATAATTTTTTTTAATGAATTAATAAGTCTAAAACTGAGAGTAATTCATTTTAATGCAAAAAAAAGTTTAATGGCTCTTTTAAAAAACTAAAAAACAGCATAGCACAATATATGAGTAAAGTCAAGTTATTGATAATTAAAACAGACTTTTGCTCGCCAACCAGTTTTATTTAACTTTTCTAAAACCTAAACGCAAGAGTTTTGAGAATAAAAAATTTCCCTTTCTTGATATTGAGAACCAGAAGTTCGGAATTAACTTATCCGGGTATTTTAATGTGAATACTCACATATATTATTTATTCAATGTACAAAAAAAAAAAAAAAAGAGATCTACCATGAANATTAAAAAAAAAAAAAAAAATCGATCTACCATGAATAATTTTTGATTTAATGATCGGATGTTTACGTACTAGGACTCAATCTCAATGGTTTGAGGGGAGTATGTTAATTAGTTATTGCAGACGATATTTTAAGTTACGAGATCAAACACAAAAACGTACTTTCTCTGAATAAACATGACTACCTTCAGATTTGGAGTACATCGTATCTCCCCATCCTAGGACAGTGCCGTTCTCTCCGGGTCCAGCTGTATCTCTGTGTGGCAAGCATATGGGCACATGTTCAGGACCCAATATCATATTTAAACGCAGGAGGGCTATGTCGTGACAGAAGCATTCAGGCGTGAACTTCTGATGAACATACACCTTTTCAACACGAAAAAAATTCTCAAGGGGTATGTGTTTCTTAACTCTATCCAGTTTTCCGATGATCACGGCGTATTTCTCTAATTCACTGAAACAAAAACATGATTATTTTAAAGGGTTTGATTGGTCACAGATGAGCAATTTAGGGGAGTCAAATAATCTACGATTCAGGGGAACGTCAATACTCTTCCTTGTCGATTTTTTGCCTCAAAGTAGGGAAAAAACTTTCCTCTAATCATTGAAAACTGAAGTAATGAATATATATATTTTGGACTTATCATTAATTCAATAAATGAAAGGTCAAAAATATGAATACGAAATGAATGGAACATAAAAATTATTTTCATTCATTTTCGATTTAAAATTTGCCTTTCCACTGATTTTGAACTTTGAATTATCCGGTAAAATATATGATTACCTTGCGCAAATTCGATTTCGGGCCAATTCAAGGTAAGAGACACATTAAAAGTGGTTCTGTACTTTAGTAAGCACGCTCCCTTAGAAGATACAGTTCATTACCCTTTATTACGCTTCAGTTTCATATTTTGTGACTGGAAACTTAGTTTCGAAAATATTTTATATTATTTTACCAAGATGTCAATAAGCACATGGAGATATGTTCTTCACTTTATTTGATCCATATACCATCGTAACAGAATGCGTTCTGAAGAGAGCTTCCCATCAAAAAAATTTTCTATTTTATTTTGTTTTGTAATTCACCTTAATGTTGATATACATTATGTATATAAATACTACATACATAGTGTTTATACATATATGTTAGATATGAAATTATGTACATGTATGCATAATTTTAAAAAAAGTTTTTAAAAAAAAGCTAGACAACAAAAAGATGCAATTTCGTTCTCAGGGCACATGATTATATCCGCAAATTAGAGTGTTTTGTAATATATCCGCAAAAGGATGTAGATATAAAAGTCTCAGCACATATTAAAGCGCGAAATGAGAAAGTTTTAACTCTTAGATAAAATATTATTTTCACTAAATAGAAAAAAATTAAATATATAATTTCAGTGAAAGAAAAAAGAATAAATAGTAAATATTTAAATTGTCTTCAAGAATGCAAAAATATTATTAAATAAAAAGTGGCGTTTAAGAATAATAACTTCGTATTTTTTCATTGCAGACAAAGGAAGAGAGTCGCAGTTTTCGCTAAAATGGCGGAGTGTTGCTGCTTAAGCTATTTATCCAGGGCTTTAACCTCATACAATCTGAGTGTTAATGTTAATTTCGAATTCAACAAAAGAAATCCCTCTTTTTTTATGACCGATTTTGTTTTTCCTGAAAAATGGGACCCATTTGATTACACAATTGTTATATTGGCGATCGAAATGGACTGTAGGTGGCGTAAAGCAGAACTCTCTACCTATGACAACACTTCACATGCTTTCACCATTATCGTGTGGAGAGTCATAGGCGATCGCAATGCTCGAATACGCCATCAGGTGAGAAGATCGGTTCCATGCCTTTGGTCCATCTTCTTTCCTCTTTTCAGTTGTATTAGGAATGTACTACAATATTTTTCCTTTTCTCAATATTTTTCGTTTCTAATTAATAAAAATATTTTTTAAAATTTCCATGGTGCTTTCATTTAAAACTATGTTTAATGTAGTTTTCAGTTCCATATAGTTTCCCAACTTAAGAGATTTGAATCTATATGAAAAATCAAGACAAAAACTGACGCACTTCCTTCTAATATGACTCTCCACACGCTAATGGTGAAAGCATGCGAAGTGTTTCCACAGGTAGAGAGTTCTGCTCTACCCCACTTGTAGCTCATTTCGATCGCCAATAGGAGAAGGAAGTAATATCAGTTTCTCTCTTAATTTTCAAATAGATTAAAAACTTTCAACTTAGGAAACAATATTGAACAGAAAACTTCATTAAACATAGTTCCAAAAGGAAAAGCGTAGTGGAAATTTAAGAAAAATATTTGTGACAATTAAATAGGAAAAATATTAAGGCGAGGAAAAATATTGTAGTAGATTCCGATAAAACGAAGAAGAGGAGGGAAAGGGAGAGAGTCAAGACATGGAATCGGCATTCTCCCCCCAGATGGCGTATTCAAGCACTGCGGTCTCAAACTTTGATTAAAAGTGACATTGCCATAACAAAATGACGGTGTAAACTAGGCTCACCCCCCAGGGTGTCGCTCTAGCACCATTGGTGTCATAAGTTTTTTCAAAATATCAAATAAAAGTCTATTTTTATTTTTCAAACTGGTACCTTTATAAAACAGTGTATGAAATCTACAATAAGAGATTAAAAATATTTTTCTCGCGATGTGATTGAAGTTAAAAAGTTAAATTTCGAAGTAAGAAAACTTTTACTACCCATCTTCCTCCTGGTAGAAACAGTGAGCTGCTGACAGGACATGTTCGTAATCTATCAATGTTCCTCCACATATGAATCGCATTGATGGATATGTATAGATTCCAACCTGTTATTTAAAAAAAACACTTTAGTTTAATAATGTTGCATATATATATATATATATATATATATATAGAGAGAGAGAGAGAGAGAGAGCACCAGCTTTTCAGGCGCGACGAGG